CTCAAACTCATGTGAAATAAATGGGCTCTTTAAAGTGCTTTTCAAACCAGAGGTAGGGTTTCCAATTGCAGTCCTGGGAGTAGGAGTGGAGGAAGGAGGCTCTTAGGGTATTAAGTTATAACTCTAAGTTTAGTCTTTTTATATAGAAAGATTTGAACTTACAGAAAAGTTGCAGGGAATGTGCAATGAACTCCTGTGTCCACTTCATCTAGATCCAGCAGTTGTTATCTCTGGGCCACATTTGCTCTAATGCTCTGTGATTCTCTCAATCTAAACACAGCAACAACAGCAGCAGTAGTAAGTAAAGTGTTGTTGAACCATTTGAAAGTAAGTGGCAGATATCAGTAACATTTTTGCCCCAAATACATGAGTGTGTATTTCCTAAGAGCTAGGACCTTCCTTGTTATAACCATGCTACAACTAATAAATGCAGAAAACTTGACATTAATACAATACTGTTATCATGCATAAATATGTATGTGAATAAAAAACAGTAAAAAAGTAATAATAATAATAATAATAGAAGATTTTGCAAAGATGACTAAAGCTAGAGTGGTTGCTGGCCAGAGGGAATCGTTGCACTCTGTTCTCAAACATCTGAGGCTTTCCTGGTGGCTAGATGGTGCCACAGTTTCCCCTCCAGAATGTGGTTTTGCCCCCTGTACAGCCAGCCAGCTTGGGGTGCTTGTGGCCAAGGATGTTGTGAGCCCTCTGGCTTTTTCATCTGGTCCAGTGGGACCCAGAGCCAACTCACTCCAGCCCCACTCTCTTGGAAGAGCCACCTGTGCCCGAATTAGCCTCGTCCTCTCCTCACAGGAAAAGGCTGCTGGCTCAGCCTTGATGGCACACTTCGGCAGAGCCTGTGCTGGGTCTCACCCTGTCACGAGGACTCTTTCTTATCACTCCTTCCCAGCTTGGCTGCTTATGCTTCTAAAATAAACAGAACACTACATATGCATTTATATATAGATAATACATAAAACCATATTTCAGTCTCTCTAACTGTCCCAGTAATTTTCCTTAGAGCATCTGCTCTTGAGTCTAGGATCACCAGTCACCTTCAGTTGCCATGTTCTTTTACCTGTAACCTTTGGTCTAAAACAGTTCAGCTTTCCTTTGTCTTTCATGACATTTTTTAGAGTGTTCAGGTCAGTTTTACTGCAGAATGTCCCTCAGTTGGATTTGATTGTCTCCTCTGCATTTTATTTTTAAGTCCCTCCACTGCAGTGAGCCACAAAACCTATCGCCATTACCAGGTTTGCGTGTCCGCTTCTTTTCTCTGCAACAGAAGTCCCATCCTAAAAGCCCTGGGCCGCCGCCAGCACTAGCCTCCAGACCTGGGAGGACCACAAACAAAGTTAGAGTTGTGCCTAAATCAATTTCCTTTCCCTCAAACAATTACCTGTTTAGCAAATCATTTTTAACTAATCTCTGCTTTAAAGTATAAATGATAGATGGATTGCTACACAATGCAAATTAAAGGGAAAGCTTTCTCTTGACTTGTTCTCCAGTGAACTAAAAAATCCTTTTGAATTGTAAATTATGCATTTGCTAATGAAGGCAGAAGGACTTTTTCAGCCAACAATTTCCTTGGGAAGAGAAGTGTAAACCTCTCAGCTCCTTGTTCCTTGTTCTTCCCACAATTTGGGTCTGTAATCTTTAAATCTGCTGAATCTCTCCCTTCCTGAGGTCAGTTCACCTGTTATGCAGACAAACTGAGAAAATTAAGGGCTTAGTAGTGAGTTTTTCCAAACCATAAATTAAGTCCAATGAAAAACTTTTGTACTGGTCTTTTGTACTGAGGGGTTCTCTGTTCCCATTTATTGATAGCAAAATAAGTTTATTTTCTTAAACAATTGTGTAAGGACATGGTCACTTTTTTTTTGAGAGTAGGGGTCATGTTTATTAACAGCTTCATTTGCCAAATTAAGGTTGAATGCTTTAGGCCAGTCCAAAGTTTTCTTTCTCTGTTAATTTATGCAGATATTTAGTTAGCTAGTTGTCAGTGAATTAGTTCATTGATCTGAAATCTAAAAGTCAGGCGGGAACAAGTGATTTGGTGTAAAGACCCTAGATTGGTGAGAGTCAGAAGGACCTGGCTTTAAGTGCTGGATCTGCCATTGAACAGCATTAACACAGCCTGGCACAAGTTGCCAGCCTCCAACAGCCTCGGCTCATGATTTATAAAATAGTAATCATTGCTCATCCACATCGCAGGAGTTGATAGGAGGAAATACTTTCATGGACCACGAGGACCTTAAGGTGAGATGTGTTCCTGTTACACTCCCAGCACTTAGAATGAGGTTTGGCCTCTAATGTGCACTCCGGAAATGCCTTCCCATATAAATGAATGAGTGAAGTGAGAAAACATATTCCATTTTAATGGCCATTGACATGTGTATGTCGTTACGACAGGAAGCTGCACTTCAAGAATGACATTCCATTCAACAAAGAATAGGCAAACTACATTGCAGCGTATGGAATGCACTTTGGAAATGTTTTTCCCGTTTTCCTTAGAGGTCGCACTGATCTCCCTTGTGCTCATGCTCAAAGGAAAAAAAATGCGTGTGACTGCAAAGCAGGAGGATGGGAGGTAAAAACAGATGAAAGATGTAGGTAGCCTGGAGAAAGATGAAAGGAGATGGGTCCCAGTTTCTATTTTTTCCCCAGCTCATCAAATAATCCAAAGTTACTTCTGTTCCTCCAGGAACACCAGTTTGTAAGGCCGGACGGTAAAGTGGAAGGATTGAGTGCTGGACTCCCACACGGCAAATGAACCCAGGGCTCCTCCAAACTGTCTTTGTAACCCTGAGAGAGTTACTTAGTTGCTCTTAGACTCCCTTTCCTTATTGGAATTAAGAAGCTAATAATACTTGCTTCATAAGATTACTGTAAGGATTGACAAGTCCATGTCCTCAGTTTTCTTCCATTTTTGGTACCCATCAGCAGCTCAGGACAAGAGATTCTGGAAGTAAGAGGACAGAGCTCATTACGGGTACTTGAGAGCATTGAACCATGTTGATTGATTTGAAAGGAAGCCAGAGTCCAGGAAGACTGTCATTCTAATAATTTCAATTGTTATGCAAAAAAATTTTAAAAGATAATGAGCTCTAAATCGTGATACTCTCCAGAACCCCTCCTGCCATTGCCTCTGTCCCTCTAACGGTGAGGAGTACATCAGAACCAGACCCATCCAAGATGTTAGAGGAACTTTTTAACATCTGAGCCACAAAATGTGGCTTCTAGGGGAAAAAAAATAACTAAATAAAACAAGAAAATGGTAGAAATGCATCAAGTCCAGAGGTAGCTGGCATCCATGCTATAACTTGCACAGTGCCTACCACAGTTTCGATCTGAGTACTGATAACTCTTAACATTTCCTATTGATTACTTGACGCTGACAAATCCTGGAAGCACAGAACTGTTTAATAAAAAAACATACAAGTCAATTTTCCAAAGTGATGGGAGCCCTTGAGTGACAGCCGACATCATGCAGTGTGACAAGCTCCAGTTTATGTTCGGGGAAATAGGATGGGGGCTTGTAAAGCACTGCTGTTGAAACTGGCACAGTTCAGTGGATACTTGCAGTGAATCAAACATTCTCTGACATGTTGGTTGGCTGGATACGCCTTCCTACAATTACTAATGGTGATTTTTTAGTAAGAATTTTGTTTCTGCTTTTACTATTATAATCTCTAAAAATTCTATGGTCTCTTTTTCTTTAAATCAAGAGAGGGTTTTCCAGTCCAGAATGCAGTCATATTAGAAAGAGAATACAATGAGCCATTTGCAAAATCGTTTATATGATGCTGTTAAAGGAGAAAAGTTTTCCTCTACCCTTCAATGTTCCCTTGGCAGATCTCAGAATTATATTGACTTAAGAGTGTCTAATAGGAGAAAATCAAGTTTAATTACATCTGTATAGAGGCTCCGTAAGAATATGAAGCCCACAGGTAGTTAGGAAATGAGCTTTACATGCCACCTGAGCCACAGAATGTGAATAAGTGGGAATAAAGATGTCCAACTTTTACTCAAGGAGATGAAGAAGGGCAAGGAGTTCTGTGCGATATCTGATTGCTCCCAAGAAACAGCTGCTGAAATCCTTAAGCAGGTTTGAGGGACAGTAAGGGGGTGGAAGCGTAGGAGAAGGGAACAGGGTCTGGGATTTTAAAAGAAAGGAAGACAATTCACAGAAGATGAAAAAGAGTAAACATTTGGTAAACGAATGTTCGCTGGGCCACACAGAAACAATGGGACAAAAAGAAGAATTTTAATGGACTTTGCTAAGTTTCTCCCTTTCTAGCACACCTAATTCATATTACGCTGTTTATCTATGGCGAGAGCTCCCTTCCTGGAGCAAGCCCTCTGTTTAGATTCTCTTAGGCAGTTAGAGGGAAGATCAGGTTCTTTCTGAGCCTCTGTTTCTTAAAAATAATCTGCCTAAAATAATCCACATTCCAAAGAAATACATTTTGAGGTGGAAAAATTTGCTCCCCTACAGTAGGAAGTGGAAGATTTCTTAAAGAGGCCCAACTAATTAGCAGACTAACAATGCCATATATAAATATTTGATGAAAGGCTTATCAAGATTTTTGGACCTAAGGAATTCTAGTGTTAGGTTTTTTAAGTGAACAGGTGTTATCCATTTCATTGAGCACCTTTGAAAAACACACAATTTTTTGTTTACCAAAGTTTTAGAGTTATAGACTTGATTTCTTAAAGATATGAAGTGTTGGCTGAAAGGTGGGGAGGACAATTGCATTCTAAATAAATTCAAAATACATTTGGGAAAATTGCATTTCCAAGCCACACATACCAACGAAGGGAACATACAGTATAATCCACCACAGAAAGGGGGATGATGGAGGAGAAGTCAATAGTGTAACATTTACATAGGTGGCCTCAATACATTTTGGGAATGATACGGGCTTGACTGTCAATGGCGATATATGCTCTTTTGACAGAACAAGTCGTTAATGTGATGGGATGTCTTTTTCTAGGTCTAATACGTCTGCAAGAGCTCATCAAAGCTCCCTCCAGATATAACATTAAAATCAAAATACGCCAGCTGCCCTCTGGGAATAAAGATGCCAAGCCTTTGCTCAAGGAGATGAAGAAGGGCAAGGAGTTCTATGTGATATTTGATTGTTCCCATGCAACAGCTGCTGAAATCCTTAAGCAGGTAAGAGGGACAGGCATGGGCTGGAAGTGTGGGGGAATCCGTTCATTTCTCTTGTTCAAAAATGCTCTTGCCTTCACTTAGTGCAACACGGTATGACTACAACAGTTCAGCTTAGGTGGAAGACAGCAGCTTTCCCCAGAACTCTTTGTAAAATAGCCACAGGGCTCAGAGTATGAAGATGTAGATGTCAGTCCTATGTTCTTACTGGGGGGTATAAAGGTCCCCCCAGCAGGGACTGAGAAGAGAAAGGCATCATCTCAAGGCGATCGAGCATCTCTCCTTTTATTCTCTTGAAAAGCCTGAGCCAGACTTCAATGCCTGACTTATCCTAGATACATTTTCCTCACGGATGACCTCAAAAGACCTCTTTTGTCAAACACTCAGGACTCCAAGCATAGTGAAAAGGGAGCACAGGGAGATTCACAGAAAAGATGTTTCTCTCCTAATTTGTTATAGACGATGAGCTCCATGTGTGAATCTCCACGGATAACATGGGTGGAAACCCTTGATAAATTGTGAGATCCTCTATCAATGAAAGAATTTAGTAATGTTAGGAATAATAGAAATGGAGTGATAATTTCTGAGCACTTTAGGATATAGCACTGGTCTTATGCCCAAGAATGTAAATTCAGAATTAAAAAAAGATAAAGCATAGATTAGTGGTTCTCAGTCCAGAGCGGTTTAGTCCCTGCCCAGGGACTTTTGGCAATGTCTGGAAACATTTTTCATGGTGATATTGGGGACGGTGGTGCTCTACTGGGAAGCGGTACTTCAAGGTCAGGGATGTTGCCGGACACCCTATAATATACAGGACAGTCCCCAAAGCAAAGAACCGTGTAGCTAAGCTGCCAAGAGTGCTGGTGTTGAGAAACTCTGGCATAGATGAAAGCAATGAGAAAGGCTGGCCACGTGTTTAAAATAGAAGCATTAATAAAAGATGAGGGGATTGAATTTAGGGTAGAGTCAGGAAAATCAGCCAAATTATATTTCCATAGCCTTAATGGGTGTCTCTTGGTATTTAATTTAAGTGGTTATTGTGGCACAAGGCCATGATCTTAACCAAAATGACCCAAGCTGTTACCGCACTCCCTAGTTTAAATGGCTTGGGGTATGCTATGTGGTTGACTGGTCATGGGCACTAATTTCATAAGTAGACCAACCCTTGCACTCAAAACGCAGAGCATGGATTTCTGAATCAGCTGGAAGAGCCGGCCTTACTCTCCAGTGGGTATCTTACACATGCAGGCCATCTCTCTGCAGCCACTGAGTTCAGACTTAAGTTTTTTATTTCACTGAACGTAGACGCTCAGGAAAGTTGACTAGATGTTTCTATTATCTTCTGGGTGATTATGCTAAAAATCTATTTAGAGTCACAGAACATATTTAAAATTGCAGTTGAAACAATCACAGACATCACCGGGGTTCATCTTCTCACGTGATAGGGGGTAAAAGGACTTTCCCAGAGTCACACACTCAGAAACTGGCTCTCGACCTGTTTATTCCCCCTGTGCTTTCTCCACTCCAAAATGCTGCTTCCCCTGTTACGCGAAGAGCATGTTACTTACTTTAGACTGCAGTTGCGTTAACAAATCTTGATATTATCACCACAATTATCTCTCAGTAAAGAAAGCCAGCGTGGCACTGTGACTATCAATAGCTAAAGAACGTTAAAGCTAAGTAAACACAATGAGCAGCCCTTTATCTTAAGGTTTCATTTGAGAATTTTAATACAGTTCATTAAAGTGTGTAATGGAGTGTGGACCGCAACTGAGAAAAGCACCCGGGTTTTAAGTGTAGCCCTCAAAACGCAAAGACGCATCCCTTCCCAGGAGCCTGCTGTAACAGAGACTGGGGATTTCTGTTACATGTGAGAGAATGATTCGCGGATGAGGCTTCTCTTGGTTAGATGCCCAGTGGGCTCACATAACTGGCTACATCTCTCCCAAATGGCAGGCATGGAACTGGCAACTGAAGCGCACAATGGGCACGGGAAAGGGCTGCTCCAGTTTCTCCTCTATTTCAGTGAAATGGTGTTCCTCCTCTCTTCCTTTCCTGGTAGCATAGAGATTACATCATTCAAGGATAATTTTCTTAAAAAACAAACCAGAAAAACCCTCTAAGAGAAGCCTTCCCAAGAAATGCCTGCTAGGGATAAGGGACAGTGGGGTTAGTGGAGCTTTTAAACAGCCATTGGCCCAAACCCTTTTTCCTCCACCTTCTGTGTCACCATGTTTCAACATGTGTTTCTTTGTCCTAATCTTGTGATTAGGAAGATTGGCCATGAGGCTTGGGGAAAGCAACGACAAGACTCTGCTCACCCACTTCTTGTAGACTAAAGACCTGCAAATCTGAGGGAGGAGGAGAACTTTGTTTAAAGGTGCCAACCTGAAGCACCCACCTTCCCACGTGTACATGTACAAATGCTCTTTTGGAAGTCACAGCAGAGGACCCAGGTTGACTTACCTGGGTTTGATTTGGACCTCCAAGAAGCTGATATAATTTGAAAAGTGGTATGGAAAACCTCAGGACTTTTCTATTCTGGGTAAAATGAGGCCCAAGTACTCTGTGTGATCCTGTTTCACTTGCCCCATCAGTTCTGGGCAACAACCTGTAGAAAGACAGACAGAGGGAGACCTTCTTCCCAGCAGCTGTCTGCTGAGTGTGGCTCTGGGAGGTGGAGGGTTCAGAAGTTCTCAGTCCTGATTCCAGCTCCACTGAAGCAGTATCTATCTACTCGAAAGCAAAGGAAGGAAGCAGATCTAGCTCTCTTCATAAGGTGCCCCTGACGGTGCCTGGCATCCTATGCACTTGTCACGCAGCCTCAAACAGCCCCTGAGATACCTTTGGTATTCTCACTTCCCAGCTGAGGAAAGTGAAGCTCAGACAGGTTCAGTGCCCCATACAAGCTCACTGTCTGAATAGCCAGGCTGCCACACTGTCTCCAGACCATTTGATCTCAGACCCTGTGCACCCACGTTCCATGAAGGGTCCCCTTTCAGGTGGATAAACTATTTCATTCTGAAGTAGGCTTCCAGAAACATCTGGAAAAAACAAAACCCACTTGCTGCTGTCTCTTTTAGATGGAATTAGTATTAACAGCTTTTGCTTTCTAGTACCTAAAATCACTGCTGAGAAAATTTTCTCTGTCAGGTCAACTTGGCTTTCCTCTCATGCATATTTCCCATTATTTCCCTGCATTTCCCTGCACCTTCATCATGCTTTACCACTTTTTAATGATTCTTAAGAAAAAAGAGATCTTTTAAATATCTTTAAAGAAGATATTTGACATTTATCTGAAAGTAAAAATGGGCGAAAAGTCTATAGTTATTCTTGGGCATGCTAATCACTCCAGCGAAGTAATTATTTCTATTCATATTGAACAAGTACTATATGATGAGAATCTGAAAAGTTATTTCCCAAAAATTAGTAAGAAATTCAAATGTCAAGACTTGATTAGGCTACAGAGGATCAGGGCTTTCATATGAATAACCTGTCTCCATGGATTTCTGCCGTCTGAGAGTGCCCCCAACAGCCAGCAGCACACACATGGGACCCATCAGGTAGCAGGGTGTCCTCTTCTCTCCCTGCCCACCACCACCTGTCTCCTAACTAGGAACCCCAGGTCCTCAACTCCTCACCACCACTTTCTCCAAGCCCTGCCGTCCTCCTGCTGGCACTTCCCTGGCCACACCCAACTTGCACCCTTGCTCACTTACACCGAGTGTGACTCTACCAAGGGAGTAGCTGGTGGGAGAGGAATTTGAACTAAAATGTTTCTACTGGCATGCTTGATGATCTCCTTTAATCTAACCCTTTACATAAGTGGTATTGTCCTTCCTTTGCAAATGAAAATGGATGCTCAGAGATAGCTCCCCAGCACCTTCTACATTATTTGGCACATACTGAGCTCAACAGAGTTGTGTTGAATGAATAAATGAAATGAATGAATGAATGACCCAAGAACTGTGTGAAGAGCACTTAATAAGTAGTTCTCTCCAAAATCACCCCACGCGGTATGCTCTGGACTCAACTCTGCCAAGTACATTTGAGCAAATTGCTCCTCTGTGCCTCAGTTTCCTCAGAAGGAAAGTCTCATTCAATCCCTGAAGTCCCATATTATTAAGAAAGTCAATGCATTTGAGTCTATGATTCCACTTCCAGAAAATAAATTTGTCTCTTTGGAGAACTGCGGAGTCCCTTTCCAATCCGGTAATAGGACTGAGAAAGAAAGTTACAATTTCAAGCACAGGAGTCTGCATCCTAATGGCTCTCTGAAGGGCGGGGGGTGGGGGGTGTGGGGAGGGACGCTGTGGTGCTCCATCCGTGAGGGAAGCAGCATCAGGACCGGGCCAATTCCCTGAGTCGGGGAGCAGCCAGTGGGCAATCGTGAACACTCTGTTTCCAGCTCAGGCAGGCTCCCTTGTCTACATGAACAAGAGCATCAGAGGACAGATGCTTTCCCTTCACAATACTTGTGGAAATGAGTATTAAGCTATAATTGAGCCATTAGTTTCCATAAAACATTTTAGTACCAAAATATTTTGTAGAATTATATGGCATTTACTCCTGTCAACATTTGTGTGCTCTTGTTTTTATTTTTTTCTCATCTTTCAATTAATGTAAGAACAAGGTCAGAGAGAAAATGTATTTTTTAATGCCTGGCATCCCTCTGCTAGGAAGTACAGTGGCAATGCTGATCAATCACATAATTTTGTGTATTGATTCTTTCCTCACGTGAGTTGTGCCTAGTGGCTATGACCAGAACAAACAGAGGTTCCCAGGACAGAAGCACCATCAGTTTTCATCTCTCAGAACACAAAATACCAAGCCAGGCAGTACAGCTTCGATATGCTAAGAGATTGCAAACCTTTGTTTGAGACCTACACTCACTAAGTCAGACACTCAAGTCCATCATTTCTAATCATGAACACATAGCAACACAGAGAAGACAAGTAGTGATTTTACAGCATCTTACTATGTTGATGGACAGTGACTGTGAA